TCCAGCACTATTTTTACATATTACGAACACGCTACAAGCGGGCGAATAGCGAAAGTGTTGTCAGACGTAACTTGGTAAGATTTAAAGTGTTGGCGGTAAAAATGGGTAAACAAAAATGGTTGACCAGTAGAAATTCGAATATACATTGTATCTATTTTACGAAGGCCCGTTTCTGGTGGGGGAAAAGGGGAAGGAGCCCCGCTTGACCTCCTTTAAGAACGACCCTCCTGCAAATCCCATTTAGAAATTTCACCAAAGGGTAAAGTTTTCCGCTTGACACCTTGAATGACATATTTGGCTTTTACAAAACCATCAATTAGAGGACCATTCAATAACATCAATTTGTTCAGGTTTACATAGAACGATATGTTCGTAACAGTTAATTTATTCAATAGATATGAATATTATTAATGTAATAATAATAACATTATACTCCGTATCCTGTTGTATCAAATCTTCAGTCGGATAAATAATACAATATTATAGACATGACTTCAAAACTTTAACGTCTGTTCTTTTTTTGTACTGGTGCAGGTTGGGTTTGGGTTGTTCATAGTTTTCTGTTCATTTTCTTTTACCTTTCCCTTAGAAGCTCTTTCAATGGCAGGCGGGCCATTGTTTTAAGTCGTCATCCCACCAACTAAGGGGCCTTTTCTTACTTTCAGTTTCCACACAAACTCTCTTTGTAACCTTGTTTTCTATATATTTCACAATCTCTCTCTCAATACTTCTCTTTCAGTTCTCTTTGTTTTTATATTTCGTGTAAATGTTATCGAAATCACCTATCTTCAAATTATTTTGTCTTTTTTTTCTCCTCGCTTACACTCTACTATTTTTTAAAGAATGTCTGTGTGAACTTACAGGTCACAATGTAGTCAAATGCCTCTAAAGTTTTTGTGATAAAATCCCTATTTTACTTACATAATTTTATTTAAAACTAGATCTATGTATTCATAGACAAAAACATTTAGTCAAACACAGCTTTTTAAAATAGCCTTTGAGAATTGTAGAATTGTGAATGCTAAAACGATCCTTATTACAAAGCTTATATCAACTCAATCTGTATATCTGATTAGAAGTTAGTACACGTTATTTCTCCAATACCCAAACTCGGAATTTGCACCATCATTTTTTTCCACAGACAACACAATGATTAATTTAAAAAACACGAAATACAAAAAAAATAAATAATAAGTATTGGTTTAGTTTGCTATCTCCAACAGGGTAAAGAAATTGCACTTGACTGAGGTGGTGGTAAAAGTTGGATTAATCCCCTTTGTAATTAGCCATGTTAAAGTAAGTTTAAAACAAATAATAGATAAAAATACAATCTTCTATTTTCATTCACACCTCGCTAGCAAAATGTTTAGAATGTTGGTTTGAGGAGGCTTGAGTCCTAATTTCGAATTCAGGTCTTTCTCTTTTTTCTTAAAATTCTTTAAAAAAAAACAACAATTACGATAAAATTCTCCACTCAATTTTTTTCACAACTGTTCCTGATAAGTGAAAGGATCCTAGAGTATTTAGACATAAAGCCCAACAAAAACAATGTGTACAAATATGATTGCACAGATTTAGTATTGTGTCCATCTATTTCAAATTTAAATTGTATGTGATCCGAACTAATTGGTACAACTACATTTCGTACAAGCTTTTTTAAAAATAATTTTTGTTGTTGTTGCAAACGTGAAATTATTAAATGAACAATTAGTGGTGTTGAGATCATGGAAGGATATAATTATGCGGTAGCCCCTACACTTTTCAAAATCTTTAATAAAAATCTTAATAACAAAAGCATGACAAATTATAAAAAGAAAAACATATCTCTACATTAAATTAAATTTTCCTTCCCATGAATTTTTTTCTATTTTGTGGGCCTTTGTCTTGTGAATGTCCCCGAGCTGTAACCCCGCGGGATTGTTGCTCCACCAGCCCTCCCTTAAATCCGGCCAAGGTTTAAACTTTGGGTAAAAATAAAACCTTGGACTATAAGACAACCCTCAGGAAATGAAGCTCTACACTTAGATGTCTACTTCTGATAACAACAGTGTACAATAGAGACGTACCTTTTTTTTTCCTCTTCGTCCCTTTATCTTTTGGCATCATGCTTTTTTATCTATATATAGTCTGCAATATATATATATATAGGAATAAAAGTTACATACAATCTTTCAAATCGTTGAAAACCTTACTTGAACGACGCTGTTTGATACAGTAATTAACTCTTTCGCTCGTCTTTGTATTATTAATTGTCAAGATTTGAACATTATACTAAACCTTAATATTAAGTCTGAAAATCCAATTATATTTTTAGTAACATTGACAGTTTGTGACGAACTTATGACATTGTATCTAGATTGTTGATTACATCAAATATGGCCTGAGTCCAAGTCTCTGCAAAATTATACAAGCGTATCGGTGTTTTGTAAACCAGATCAAGGTTCAGTAATGAAATGTGACAATATGAATTAAAACATATTTTTGTCCGAAAAATAAAAAAATCTGGAAAATCGTGTTTGTTTTGGAGATCTTTTGACTACTCCTTGAGGGTGGCGTCCGGAGCATAATACTACGCCTCTGATCTACTTACGTGTATTTAAATCCTTAAGTAATAGAACAAATGAATTATTCAATAGACTTTTTAAATTGTTAAACGAAGCGTAATTCAGCCTGTGTTTTCTTTTCTCAGCATTGAAAGTGTAATTAATACGATTTACCCGATCTGACATTTATTGACGCTAGCAGAAAAAAAAAACAACGTTGTCGTGAAGTTTTGTTTCAAACATTGCGAAATGCTTCTAACTTTTAATGAAAATACACTTTTTGATGACTCTGCGATTGATAATAAAGATAATGATGACAAAACAATGGATAATGAAGAAACACAGATATTTCCCAAGTTGTTTAAATTCATCGTGCGTCAGGAAACAATCAGCCGGATTTATTGGGCGTGAATGCATTATTAGCTAGTATCTGTGGCATTTTACGTCTCGAGAGACGATCTTTTCCTTTTGCAACTTCTTGTGTGACTAAAGAGGCCAATCATTGATACACAGCTGCGATCGCAGGTTGGGCATATATAATCACCAGGCGCCGTTGCATTTTCACCCTTCTTTCTGCTTCTGTTGTGTATGACATCTGCAATCTTTGACCCTTCCTTTATGATCTCTCTCCATGAGGATCTGTCCAGTCCCTCTTCCCATTTGCCAGTGTCGATTTTGAAGAACTTCATGTCGCGTTTGCATACATCCGTATAACGTAATAGTGTGCGACCAGCGGCTCTCCTGCCTTCTATTAGATCACCATACAGGATGTCCTGTGGAAGTCGACCTTCTGGCATTCTACGAACGTGGCCAAGCCAGCCAAGGCGTCTGCTGCTGATAACAGAGCGGATGTCCTGGCACCCTGCTCTTTGTAGCACTTCCTCATTGGTTATCTTATCTTGCCAATTAGCTAGTATAGTTAGAAGAGAACAGGCCCACTTGTTTTTTATTCAAGCGAGAGCCTTCGTTTTAGAAGGCCCCAACACTGACCTGCCACGTCACAACGTGTGGGCAGTTTAGACCAATAGTGCGTTGCCATGTCGTATTTCTGCCATGTTTTTTTTGTTAAATAGTCATGTTTAACTAAAATTGGAAGAAGTAAAAATTATAGAAGTCATGAGACAAGGCAAGAGAAGAAAGAATTACTAGAGAGCTACCAGGATTAAAACTCCGGAAAGTTCGTAAGGCAAGCGCTTTACCGCTCAACCAGCTCGACTCCTTTTCATTGATTATTATTTTATTATACTCTTCATCAAGAACAATTAAAATTGTATGAAGTTAATGACAGGAATGTCCAATGCCAGGCTAATAGTAGAACCAAGTGTATGGAAGCCGATCAGTAACTCTAAATCCTATGAATTATTAGAGGAAAAGTATTGCACCACATGATTGGGATAAATTATTCAAGATTTGCCAATTTATGGACCAGCTTACGCAATTGTAAATGTTCACATTTTCTTTACGTGTACTTTGACAAGTTTCTACTTCCTTCAAAAAAATATTTACTAGAGAAATATATATTGCAGAACGGCCCCGACCTTGCTGCCCTGCCTCGTTGTGGCGTCTGGGTGGAAACGGTCATGAGAGGCGCCGTCCCTCAATGGGTCGTTTCATTAAATGGCGTGTATCCCGCACGATTAGCCTGGTATACGAATACGACGGAGCCCCAGTGGTGCGGCCATCGGTCGCGTCTTAAGACTGCGAGCCGGAGTGTCCGTGTCCACTGGAAGTGAACGCAAAACAAACTCTTAGTTTAACCCCGAGTCTCACCTCCCGTCGGACAGGTTGACTGGAATAAGGAACTCGCCGCCCAGCCAGGCTGGTGAAAGGTATCTTTGTTCGCTTTTGCTGGCTTTAGTGCTCCAAGTGCGACGCACAACACTACTAGACAATTTTAGATTGCAGAACGGCAGGGAATGAGTGAAGGCATGATTAAAACATGATCCTTCAAAGCGCATATAACATGGCCAGGCAGACTTCTGAGCTTTGATAAACAAGAGACTTAATGGTAATCAACACTATGTCAAACAACCTAACTTTACAAGAACTAGGTAAAAGAACCTAGCTTTACAAGAACTATGTCAAACAACCTAACTTTACAAGAGCTAGGTCAAACAACCTAACTTTACAAGAACTAGGTCAAACATAAAAAAATTACAAGAACTAGGTTAAACATAAAAACTTTCAAAGAACTAGGTTAAACATCAAAACTTTCAAAGAACTAGGTCAAACATCAAAACGTACCAAGAACTAGGTCATACAACAAAATCTTACAAGAACTAAGTCAAACAACCTAACTTTACAAGAACTAAGTTAAAAAACCTAACTTTACAAGAACTAGGTAAAACAACCTAGCTTTCCAAGAACTATGTCAAACAACCTACCTTTACAAGAACTAGGTCAAACAACCTAACTTGACAAGAACTAGGTCAAACAACCTAACTTTACAAGAACTAGGTCAAACAACCTAGCTTTACAAGAACTAGGTCAACCAACCTAGCTTTACAAGAACTAGGTCCCCATTAGGAAGCATTAGATCCATACTTGGCACTAGCCAAGAAGAAAAATCCAATAAAATATTCAAGTATATCATTCCACTGACGCATTGTAACATTTCCTTCACCTTGGCTAGAGCTTCTTTTACAGAAAAATGAAATAAAATCATTATCTTCAGAAATCTCAATGGCCTCTTATTTACTTTCCAATTTTTTCCAAAATTTACATTAATAACGTGAGATTTCAATAATATTTTATGCCTGAAGAATGTCGTCATTTGTTAAACAGTGACTATTGGTTGGCATCCTGATATTACGGTGCTAACCACAGATTGAATAGATTCAATTAAAACATTTTTAAACAAAAAGCAGTGTTCATATACATACAATGATACATGCAGCTGGTATACATCTGAAAGTAAGGCGTCACGTTTTCCTTGTGAAATTAAATATGATATAACATTTTTAACATTTTGATAGAATTTCATAATAAAAATTAAAATATGTTTAGCTGAAATGAAAAATAAGTAGATAGATCTATTTATTAATTTTAAATAACATATTCTAATATTTACCCACTGTCATTTATTTTTTAAAATTGTCAGCTATTCACAAAGTTTCTTTTTTTTTCTTGGGTGTCACCCCCCCCCCCCAACGGGTGTCTACCGGTGCGAACCGCACCCCCCCCCCCCGCACCACCTAGTGACGCCACTGACATGTCTACAGATTGAACAAAAAATTTCTTAAATGCAATGATAATTTTAACATGAAATACATTTAGCTATGTCATTCAAAACAATTAGAAGGTGGAACTACTGTGAGAGTGACATTGTTTCGACCACAGTTAATGCCAATGCATTCATCTTAATTCCATGAGATATGTCAAGATCCGTCCGCTGAGCAAAAAAAAATGTATCTCTTCAGTGCCCAATGAATTATTTTAGTTGTGTCATTTGTTAGCAGGTCAGGTTGACTCGGCTCTTGGCTATAAGCCAGGTCTTGCCTTTCTGCTAACAAGAACTTTTTTATCCTCTATATAAATATTTTATCTTTAAAACTAAAGTAATCCTTAAATTTAGTGTATATTACCTGTGTGTTCTGTTTCCCAACCTGTAATGTCGTTAGAAATTATTTTAATAATTAATTGATTTTTATTACATACATCCCCCAGTGGCGAATGACAATGTGGGCTTTTCCCAGCAGAGAAAAAGGATCAATAGTTGCTTAAGTAAATACAAGATGCAATAAAAATGACCATAAATGGAAGTAGACATTAAATTCCTATTTCGTTCGGCCCATTATACTTGCCTGAGTACATGCCAATAAATATGTCAAGAAACCAATAGTCCCATGTTGATCTGATGATAGAAAAGTATTGATCCATTGTAAAATAAAAGGACAAAATTATTTCTACAAGATAAATGATCAGGATTCAAGGGGAATAATGTCTTGCGTTGAGGAGACGATGAATGAGCAGTGGCTGAGTGGTTAATCGCTTGGCTTCGAACATGCGGTCCTGGGTTCGAATCTCTGTGTAGACTCGGACTTTTAACTTTGGGATTTTTAGGGCGCCCCTGAGTCCATCCAACTCTAGTTTGGGAAAAATAAAGGCGCTTTGTCGTTGTGCTGGCCACACGACACTCTGCTCGTCAACCGTTGTCCAAAGAAACAGATGACTTTAACATCATCTGCCCTATAAATCACATGGTCTGAAAGGGAAACATTCCTCTTTTTTTACTTGAGGGGATGATAACATTCAATAGAATAACAAGTGTGTGGGCGGGATGGAGGGGGAGAAAGAGAAAAAAGAAAAAGTCATTGATCTCGAAATATTATTTATTTCTTGAAACTTAAGTCTCCAAAAGGAAAAGCATAGCTGCAATAATGTATGTGGCAATAACGCCTACAATATTTATGAAACAAGAACTGAGCAAACTATATGTATCATAGTGCAATGAAATGCAACTATTGTAAAACAATAGAAGAAATCTACACTTGTTGGGATTATGACATAAACTAACCATTAATTATCATGATTACATAAGAGGACTGCCTTGGCAGAAAAGAAAGAACATACATAGTAGGTATAAGGAAAAGAATAGCTGCATCTGACCACGAAGTCATAATGTCAAATATTTAGCAGCCAATTACTTAAAGTTACTACGAATGATTTTGAACTTCTGTTGTAGTTGTCTGTTTGTCTGTATTGTCAACATAATCTTCTTGTTGTAAAGTTAAAAGTAAAGTTCCCATTTCAGACCTTGTCGTCTATAGGGAAGATGATGTAAATCGCATCTGTTTTTATGGCATATGGTTAACACATACGGCCTGCACAACGCCTTTACTTTTCCACTCAGAGGTGCCCAAAGATCCCGAAACAAACAAATCCTAGTCTTCATCGTGATTTGAACCCAGGACCCTTGGTTAAGAAGACAAGCGCCTTACCGCTCAGCCACCGCGCCTTATCAAGGATAAGTAAAGAAAGGTACCAAAGCTAAAAATTATTTATACAATGAATTTATTTTTAACGTAATGTATTTTATTCAAAGATAGACAAAGCTAGATTGAGCCCGTTATATTAAGAACAGATATGACGTCAGAGCTCTCTTTTTATTAGTTCTAATATGTCATTTTCTATTATTTATTTTAATCCAATACCATACCTCAAGCGAGCAGAACGTGTATATGTATAGCTTCTTATCACAAACACCAGTTTACAATTCTATTTTAAAAAACATAACACGATAATAAACATTTTAAAATACGTTTGTTGTATTTTATTAAACAAAAAATGTTAATACATAAATGTTGAAATGCCAATGTTGCAGTTAACGATTAATGTACATCAACTATAGTCTTAGAGTAACATCGTAGACTGTGAATGTCGGCCAAGAGACAAAGTTCTCCAGCATGCAGTAAATTATCTTGTATTGGGTTTGATAGAGTCGCCACAAGAGAAACATATGCTTAGTGTTCTACTTTTCATAAACAATTGTTCGAATGTTCGAAACTAAGTCCACTTCAGGAACAGATTATTTCTAAGTCAGAACTGAGATTGAATGTGTTACCAATATGTGACAGTTTTGTATAAAAATGGATTTAAGAAATGGACAGTGATACACAGACACATAAAAGTAACATTTCTTATTGAACACACTGATAGTTCATTGGTTATGTACATCATTGTCATGAGAATTTGTCATTGGCGACTTTTTTTTCTCTAAAACATAATGTACTTTTGCTTAAGTAAAGATAAAGACTTAATAATAATAATGATAATAATAATAATAATCTTTATTGTCCGTATAGAAATTTGTCTTACAATTAGTACATTACACCAAACAAAAAACATTATAACTATAAGAAACCAAAATGTACATTCAAACCCAACTCACTCATAATTTCAATGTGACAAGTTTATATCAGATTGTTTCTATTTAATGATTTGATTGCCAGGGGAACAATAGAGTCTTTGTGTCTTGTATCTCTTTTGTGATGGTAAAATCACAACTACCATTATTACATTTAGTCGCTGGTGTGAAACTATCAGCTGGATCGATACTACAAAAACTTTAATAATTATTTAAAAAAGAAAAGGTAAAAAAAAATGTTTCTAATTGTGTTATTTACACATTTTGTTACCAATCATCGTGGCACACAGAGCCCTACTCAGTTTGAAATATCATTTTAATTAACCAAATGTAAATAAAATAAAAAGCCATTTAAAAAAAACATGAGAGCATCTGTCAACAGTTGTATGCAACAAAAGATGATTATTATGTTTAACTTTCAATGTACAATGATGTTCGTGGACTTTGTAAAAAAACAATTTATGATATAAATGACTTAAAGAAAGTGAAAAATATTCTACATGGCTGGACTCTGTCTTAAATTGAATAAAATGAACCTGCAGCCTATGAAAAGAAACTGAAATGCACTAATTCAAAGTAAATAATTATCTAAATATTTAAAAATCAAAATATTTGTATAATAATGTTTCAAGAAATGTGTTTTAAAATCTTGAAGGAGGCACACAAGAGACTGCAAAGTTTCCTGTGAGGTATTCAAATCTCTGGGGTTTGTTTTTAAGTTTTAGCATTTCCCTTAAACTCCTTGGGTTAAAGCTTTATTTAGTGCTGTTGCATGCAAGATAGGTAAGCATAGAAAAAGTTGGATGGAATCACTAGAGGAGTTGCCTTCCTTGAGTTGACAAATTAAGCCTAAAGTTAAATTTTCTCAACTGCTTTAGCTCAAGTTCATTGTTAGTGATTCATAACTATTCACAGTATATAGAGCTTATATAGTTCTAAAACTTAACAAGATTAAAGGCGGCCCCAATCGAATTCATCAATGGACCAATGAACCAGGAATATTTAAGCCGTAAACTTGTTTTGATTGTTTAAATTAATAAAATTGTAAAAAATCATTTGGCTTATTTTTTTTTTCACATTAAAAAGCAAACAGGACAACACTTCGTCTTAACTGATCACCTAAAAACAGAATGGAAACCTCCCAGACAGTGTCGGTGGTACCTGGTGCGGTAGCTCAGAGCGTCATCCTTTCCCCATCAACTTTCTTCAAATATGTTCCAATAAACACTATTGATAGTTAGTTCTTTTTTGAAAAGATAAAGTGAGCTGATAACCAACTAATATTGATTTTTACTCAAATGTAAAATAAGTGTCAATTCTATTATAAAAGCCCACTGTTTATCACATTAGAAATTAGAAAGACCAAAAATCACCTGAACAGATTTCCTTTGTTATATTTTAAGACAGAAAAGGTATAACATTGTGCTTTGTCATTTAAACATCTAGATCTAGAATAGAATTCGTATGACTTTACATGTTTAATTTCAAAATTCTGGCCTCTATCGAGCCTAATGTAGATTTTTGTTAAGTGTAGGCCTATAGTAACGATATGTCACACTATGCGCTATAAAAGTTTTTTCGTGTTTTTAAACATTAAGCTTAAACGAAGTTAGTATTAAAATTATTTTTTTTAAAACAACATATGAATCATGATTTAATTAATAAATGAAAAATATATTTTATAATGATCCATTGATACTTTTTTTTATTGTGACCTTAGATGCAAATGTTTTGTACAATGCGCGATTCTTTGAATAAATCTTGATTTATTAATGAAGAGGTCCATGATCTTTTTAAAAAAAGTTACCTCCCCTAAAGTTATACATTGTAAGTGGTGTATTTTTTTTTAATCTGCTTGAATAGATAATTTTTAAAAAATTGATGGTTTCAATTTGGAAAAAAAAGTACAAGAACTTTGAATGATCTAAAATATCCTGATATGCGATTTTCATGTTCTCTTCTAGTTTCTGAGATTTAAACTGGACGGACGGACGGATGGACGGACAGACAGATCCAACAAAACTAATAGCGTCTTTTCCCCTTTAAGGATCTGCTAAAAATAGTAATGTTTATTAACTAAACAGGCTCCGTTTATGATTACGAGAAGTAAATAATGACAATGACAGTATTGTGTGTGCGTGTGTAATCAATTTTTTTTCGCATATTTTTAACAAATAATTTAACTTTAATAAAGAAAACAAATTTCGTGAACTTTAAAAAGTAATTAAAAGAACAAGCGTGCACGTGCTATGAAGGAGAAAAAAAACGACGTTAAAATGAGTGTTTAGGGAGTGGAAACGTAAGCCCCCTTCGGTATGTAAGTCATGCCATCATGAATTCCATAGACGAGTTACTTTAAGTAACAACATTAACATCTTACATGGAATAAATTATTTTTATAGACCATATCTATAGCGCATTTCTGACATACGGATATTTGTAACTGTACATAATGTTTTAGATTTCCTAACATTAAATATACATTGACTTGGTTCTCACGTAGGGGACACTCAAGTGTCGCCAGTTTAAAAATGGCTTTTTTTTTTACATTAAAAAATTAATAGCCATTTAACTGTTGATCAAGATATTTATCTCAATCAGATAATCTCATGGAGTCTTAAACTCTAAACCCAACCCACTTTTGTTCATGCCATCCTCAAATCCAGAATGGGTATGTGTCGTAATGTCGCTGTCACGATAGCCCACTCGTTTTTTACCGTAGATCCAAACTAGAGCTCCGGAACTCCCAGGGCAGGTTGGGGCATTGTACTTGTACTCAGTCCAGACAGTGCATTTGTTGCTTTCATTGCTTTGAGTAATATCATTACCTTCAGTGATTCCATTACCTTCAGTGATTCCATTACCTTCAGTGATTCCATTACCTTCAGTGATTCCATTACCTTCAGTGATTCCATTACCTTCAGTGATTC